AGTATATATTAAAAAGAGTTAATGATAATAATTGTTGCTTTAAATGCATAGATTACACTACAATTATGCAAATTTTACAAATATTTCCCTAATTATTTAGCTTATAGTAATAATAAGTCCTAGGCATGTATACCCAACACCAACTTTTGCTTAAAAAGTAAATATCTCAACTTGCATTTTTAGATAAGGCATATCACTAGCACATGCGACATGAAACTAACACATGAATTTTCTTTTATATGAGGCATAAGATTATCAAATGATTTTCTTTTTGTATGGAATATGAACTGAGATATAAACAACATCACATGACTTTTTGTTTCCATGGAACATGAAATGAGACATAAACATCATCATGAGTTTCTTTTTCTGCGTGGAACATGAAATGGGACAAAAACATCATCTATGAGTGTCAATTTTATATGGAACATGACACAGAACTAAAGTTAAGATTCAAGCCATGGAAAGTAACTATATGGAGAGGGAGAGAAAGATGTGGCGGTGGTTAGGCTAGGGTTTTGACTAGGGTGAGATAAGGAATTTTAGGATTTTGGCTAGAGTGAGAAAGGGGAAGTGCCGATTTTGGCTAGAGTGAAGAAGGGTAAGTGTAGGGTTCTAGTTATGTACGAACGGGGAAGTGTAGGGTTTTGAACATGGTGAAGAAAAGGAAGTGTTGGGTTTCATCTAGGGTGAGGAAGGGGAAGTGTAGGGTTTTGACTAGGTGAGGAAGAGGAAGTGGTTTTCCCACGTTGAGGTAAATCATACTTTGGGGTCTCGCATATGAAGATAGATTACCTTAGGAAGTACACATGGAGACCACATAACAAAAACTAAGCATGGATTTGAAGTGCTTAACATGACATTAAAGATATTTTATGATTAAAATACATGGAACAAAGTTGAGTTAGATAATAAAAATAATTTAAAAATAAAGTTATCATGACATAAGTTCTATATGTAAGCCACATAAAGAAATGCATGAAGGAGACGTAGGAAAAAAAAACAAAAAGAAAAAAGAAGGAGAAGAAGAAGAGTGGAAAAAGGAACCAAGGAATAAAGGAGAAATAGAAGAAGCAGTAGAAACAAGAAGTAGCATATTAATCAGGAAAGGTAGAAGAAGAATAAGAAGAAAAAGAAGAAGAAGAATAAGAAGAAGAAGAAGAAGAAGAGTGGATGAAATGGAAGAAGGGGAATAAGGCCGAAGAAAAAGAAATGCAGGAGGAGAGAGTAGGAGTAGTAGGATTATTAAATAAAATATTAATCACTAGAGGTTGATGAAGAAGAAGAATGAAATAGAAAGATTGGAAGAAATAGTAGAAGAAAGTAGAAGAAGAGGAATAAGCTTAAAGAAGAAGAAATGTAGGAGAGGAGTAGGAGAGAAGTAGGAGGGGTAAGAAGTAGTGTAAGAGAAGAAGGAGGTATTGGAAGAAGTAGTGCAAGTAAAGAGAAGGGAGGGAGAAGTTGAGAAACTTATGGTGAAGTAAAGAGATTGAAGGAGATCACCAGAGAGGAAGTAGATTGATCGAGACACCAAAGTGAAAAAGCAAGCCAAGGAGAGAAAGGGAGTGGTAGATCATTCTGTCAAGAAGTGAGTGGGAGTTTAAATAAGGAGTAAAGGTTTTAGTATCTGAATGTGGGAGTAGTTGGTGCTTCAAAATCGAGTGAAAGGATTTTGACTGGCGGCAACATCCTTAAGCTTTTGGGTTGTGTAATTATGCCATCTGCTTTGGTTGGGCGGTACGAGTGTGTTACCCCGCAATGTGTGTGCAACCAAAAACATCGGGCGGTGAGAGTGCCTGCTTTGTTGCATGGGCGCGCCTAAGGAAACTTGGCATAACCACGTTATTACGTTGTGGGTACGCCCGGGTGGTGCGGTTATGTCAACCAGATTTGGGTTTCGAGATTTTTTTTTTTTTTTTTTTTTTGGAGCTTGGAAACCTTGCCATCTTGGAATGCCTTCCCAAGGAAGGACACTGGATTGTTTTGGTTAAGAAGTGGGCCCTATCTTAGGATATTTTAGGAAAAAGAAATTCAATGGATTTTAAGTGAAATTTTTTACTTTGTTTTTATTGATTAAATTAAGAGTTTTTTTATCTCACATTTACTTTAGTTGAAAATTGGTTATGATTGTTCTAATTTTAGTTTGGTTGATTTTAATTTTGTTTGGGCGTATTTTAATTTTTAGGTAGGGTTAACTCAAGTTTAAGCTTAGGTAGGATTCAAGTTATGGCTTATCCGAGCTCCATTCAGTCATCTAGTGATACTAGGAGGGAGGTCGTATGTCCCTATGAAATTGGACATAAAATTGACCAAAAAAGAGATGTCAACAGTTATCAGCATGATGATCTTGCTTAGCATAGCAAATGAAATTAAAATTAAATCAAAACTAATCAATTTTTCTTGCAAACGTTTGTTAATTCATTCTTATGCCTTAAGCATGATCTATTAGGACATGTAATATAGCAAATGTTGGAGTTGAGATATGTTTGATGATAAACTTGTTTATCCACGATTATGTGTAGGTGGTTTATTTAAATTTTATTTTGGAATTTTAATATATAAATTTGATTTAGGACTAGGTGTTAGATCTGTGAGATTAGGATTAGTGGGGATAAACCACCTACCTCAGTGGTATCTCGTGATGCCTGAAGGATCCACACCATAATGAAGTGAGTCGATGATCAAAATGAGAAGACCAATATGTTGACTCATTAGTTCTATGCTTAATTGTATAAGATCATGGCTTAACTTTCCATGTTCTTTATGTTTTTCATAGTGTATAGCAGTACCCTACCACTATATCATATTACTTGCATGTATTTCCTTGTGTGATTAGTGTGTATGCACACCAAGAAATATTTTTTTCCCTTAGGTTTATTTTATGTTTTCTTATGCTAGAGCTCTTAAAATGTTCTTAGACTAAGTTTGAGTTTCCTATTTTTACCAAGTAATACTCATCTTAGTTGAGGCAGGCTATGAAGTAGATCCTTTTTCTTTTACCATGACATAAGTCCTCATCTCTTAAGCTATTTTGCAATCTTGTATTTTTAGAATGTAAGTCTTAATATTATAATTAAATGATTAACTCAAAGATTAATAAATCTCAATTTCTAAAATATAAAACCCAAGTAGGTTAAAGTGGAACGGTACTAACTTCTCAGTTTCTAAGCACTCTTTATTTCTCCTTTTTGGCATTCAAAAAAAGTTATTCCAAATTGATCATTTCTAATTTGTTATCTTAAATCTAAATTTTAAAGTAGACAGAGACACAAGTCACTATACTTTTTTAAATAAGAGTATTTTTAGAGATCATCACTCATAGAAAATAATTAATTATAATGTATCCCAAACTAACATTATCTTATATAAATTAGATAGGGAAAAAAATTTATTAATGCAGACATAATTTTTGAAATAATTATACTTAACATTTACATCTTTGTTTGTGTGTGTGTGTCTTTTATATATATGGGGGTGA